TTGGGGACCATTTCCTATAATTTCTCTAGGATGTATATTAATTTCGGAAGATAAGGATACAATTGAAAATAAGGGAAGGTTTAGCGAGAAAACAGAAAAGAAGCGAAAAAAGATAGCGGAAAGAGTGAAAAGAAAATGTACAAGATCCAATAATAAGCGGCGATGCAAACACAGTTGGTAGCGCAGCAGTTCCTCGTCTTCTCCGCTGCTCCTCTATTCCCTCCATTCTGCACTTCTCCTCTCGCTCCCTAATTGTCTAATTCATTGCTTCCTTCCGATTTCTCCGATCCTCTAGCCAAAAAAAATTTCTTATCCATTTCTCTCTAATAGCACCATCTCTTTCTCCTCTTCCCTCTCTTCTTCTCCTCTTCCTCGTATTTTCCCCTCTGTTTCTTTCTCCTCAATTCGTTTCAAGTCAACCCCAAGACGAATCCTGACAGTCCGCTCCAAGATCCGGGAGATCTCATGCCTGCCCTCAGTTCTACCATGACCGAGGGCAAGATCGTCTCTGGTTAAATCTGAAGTGATGTAACTCTCCAAAGGTGAGAGCGTCGTCGTTGTCGAATCCGACAAGGCTGACATGGATGTCGAGACATGGATGTCGAGACTTCTACGACGGCATTCTCGCTGCTATCGTTGTTGGGGAAGGCGAAACTGCCCCTGTTGGCGCCGCCATTGGTATCCTCGCTGAGACTGAAGATGAATTGTTGAGGCTAAGGCCAAAGCTGCCTCAAAATCAGGTGCTTCAGCCTAGCTCCTCCTCCTCCACCTGCTCCAGTTGCTGCTCAACTCCTGCTCCTCCGAAGTCGACGCCAGCTTACACTGCTCCAATAGTTACGGAGGGACCGAGGAAGATTGTTGCGACACCATATGCAAAGAAGTTAGCGAAGCACACAAGTTGGATATTGAGTCTGTGGTGGGAACAGGTCCGTATGGGAGGATTACGCCAGAGGACATTGAGGCAGCTGCGGGTATTTCGCCTTTGAAGAAAAATGTGGGATCTGCAGTGGTTGCGGAAGTGAAGCCTTCAGCACCAGCGAAAGCTACATCTGCTTCTTCCGCCTCTTCTAACATTCCTCCTTCAGTTCCAGGCTCTACAGTAGTGTCATTTACGACAATGCAAGCTGCCGTTTCGAAGAATATGTTGGAGAGTATTTCAGTGCCCACATTCGATGGGGTACTCTGTGAATACGGACGCTCTTGATGCCTTGTATGAGAAGGTAGGATGAGTGGATTCTTCATTTTGAAAATTATTAGTATTGAAATTGAAAAATTAGTTTTTAATTCATCAGTTGCTAGTTTTGTTTATAGGTTAAACCAAAGGGTGTGACAATGACTGCTTTGTTAGCGAAAGCAGCTGCAATGGCACTTGTGCAGCACCCTGTTGTGAATTCAAGCTGTAAAGATGGCAAGAGTTTACTTATAATAGTAACATCAATATCGCAGTAGCTGTTGCTATCAACGTGGCTTGATTACCCCTGTCCTTCAAGATGCAGATAGGGTAAGTGATCCTTTATTTTAATATTTAATCGGTGGGATCAAATATAAGGTTTTATGTTATTAATAGTACTTGTAGTTGTAGATAGTTTTTCTATCATTTTCTTATAGCTTCTAAGAGCTTGAATAAGAATTGTTTTGAAATAGTTAGATTTGTATCTACTGTCTCAAAAATGGAAAGAGCTTTTGGAGAAAGCCCGGGCAAAGCAGCTTCAGCCTCAAGAATATAATTCGGGTTTGTACTGCTTAATGATTTTAATTCTGGTTCCACTTTGATTAGTTGGTTGATATTTGGAGTCCAGAATAAAGTAAATAATAAATCAATTGCTTGCGGGACATTCACTTTGTCCCAATCTAGGAATGTTTGGAGTGGACAGGTTTGATGCTATTCTTCCCCCAGGCCAGGTGAGTGGTCATGGTCCTATGGATGGACCTTCTATTCCAACTGTTTGATTATATTTCTCTACATTTGTTACTTATTTTTTGGAATGATGACCAGGGAGCTATCATGGCTGTTGCAGCATCAAAACCAACTGTTGTAGCTGATGCCGATGGATTCTTCAGCGTGAAAAACAAAATGCTGGTGAGCCCAGTTTCTATTACGGAGCCAATTACATTCCCTTTTAGATAAAATTTTCTTTTGAACTTATAGAAGGTAGGATAAATTCTTTCATGTTTAGCAGGAAACAAGACACTCATTTATTGTTAATGCTTTGAAGTTATCGTATTGCGACTAGAAGAATATTATATTTTTTTTTTGTTTCATGCAAATATAACAGTAAGATGATGCTGGGATCTGAGGCTATCTCAATAAAGTACAATTTAGGTACAAGTACTAATTTTGCTGATAACCATCATTCTGTTGAGGGGATCACCCGTTATTCTTCCTGAGTTATATTTAAAAGGGAATTACTTTTAGGAGGAAATGATTCCCTCTGAAAATGGCTGCCTCGCTACCTTGATAGGGCATAGGTCTATTTACTTCTCATAATTGTGGTTGGTCTGTATCTCAACCACACATTTCCTGTTAAGTTGTTTGTTTATCTTGGCTGTCTGTGTACTCTTCCATTTACTAGTATGGTAAAAATAAAATCCTGACTGAAAAATAATGCTGAAGTAAGCTAGAGATGATATGCATTTACACTATCCATTGCATTCTAAAGCTGGATATACAAGGAGCAATAGTCATTTACACTAACTACTTTTCTTGGATAGAGGAAGAATTTTGTAGTATGGCTATGGTGTATATACATACTCTGATACACTTCGTTCATCAATTCCAAATGCATATTGCAATCCTTTGCAGCCTAATTTTACCTTCAAAATACTTTTATCGATAACCCTTGTCCTCTTTTCCGCAACTTAGCTTCCCATTTTACTCCCTGCTATCGGTGGGATTGATTTTGCTTCTTTTCTTCTGACTTCTAAGATGCGTTCCTCATTTATGGGTAGTACTATTGGGGTGTCTAATCCTATTGGCTATTACTACCCTAGCAGTCATTGTTCACTGTGATTGTTGTCATGTGAAATGAGGATATTGTGAGTGTATGTTGATTTTGCCAAAACCTCATGGATCTTCAATAAATAGACATGATGTTGCTGATTCAATGGAGGAACCTACCTTGATTAGCTTCTATTAGTAGATGCTGGTTCTTTTTTAGTTTACTGAGTCCTTGGACAGGTAAACTCCCAAATATAGCTGAGATATTCCGAAACACTGTTCTATAAAGGATAGAAAGGTTGGATTAGTAGAGATACAACAACAAACTAAGCCTTAACCCAGATCAGTAAGGTTTAGCTAAGCCTGTATTTGATGATACTGTGCACTTTGATTAAGGATAATATCCTCAGGTAACTCAACCACTGAGGTCCTTGATTTGTTGTTTCTGTCCATCATCTGCCTTCTTTCATTCTTTTGTCAGGCTTAAAAATCTTTTAAATACCGTCTTCTCATGGGCATTTGTAGTTTTTTGTTTTCCTCGACATCAGTTTAAAATTTAATTAGTTATCTGTTGATCATATTTGGAGTAAATATTTTGTCCAAAGCGAATGGGCTCCGTGTTTCTTCTTTGTGCAATATTATTCTATGTTCCATTGTGGTGTTAAGAGGTTAGAGGCTTAGAGCTGGTACAGTGGTAGTTGTCAGAGCTAAACCAATCTTTTTGCCACCCTAATTGTATTATTGTCTGAGGTATGTGCTAAGATGTTTTGATTAAGTTCTGAGAAATATTAATCTGAAATAACTAGTTCAATTGATACATGGTTATCATTCCATTTGTTGGTCATGTTTGCAAATTAATATAGGGGAGTCATTTCTTTGGACGGGAGATAATCTGAACTTTTCATCGTGGATAACTATTTCTATGTAACAACTCAAACTGAGTTAGAATGTGATTCTTCTCTTTTAGGTGAATGTAACTGCTGACCACCGTATTATCTATGGTGCTGATTTGGCTGCCTTCCTTCAGACCTTCTCAAAGATTATTGAGAACCCTGGAAGCCTCACTTTGTTGATGTTTATGCAATGAAGTCACACCGAGTCTCCTAATTTGGCGGCAAAGCGGAGCTGATTGTCTGTATATTCAAACAGATGACCTAGCTAAGGAGCATGTTCTCTGTGGCAGTACATTGTATTGTATTGCATTGCATTTCATTTCATTTTTTGTTTTCTTTTCCTTTTTGAGTTTTCAGGTGCAATCTCAGATGCAGTTGAATTAGATATAAGAACTGAATAACAACGAGATGTTTTTGATAGAACTAAATGAAAATTGCTTGATCACGAATGGTGGTTTCAAACTTTGTTCACTATTGACTAGATTTTTCCCAAAAATGAGTGTTGATGCTCTTTAGACATTGAACATATTAAATCTCAGGCTATTTTTGCTCTTTACAATCACAAGAATACTCGATTACATTTGTTTATGACGCGACTGCTTTAGTTGAGAGAGCAGAATGGACACAAAAACCTAGGATTTGTGTCATTAGATTGTTTCTACAAGGTGTAAGATGATTCCCTGTAGTTGCACAGATTTGAAGTAGCTGGAGCAATGAGATGCATAAAGGGTTTCTGTTGCTGCATGAATGAATGATCATGATCAATGTAATCCATCACTGGGTATGAAGCTTTGATTTACCTTATCACTTTCTTATCTGTAACAATGTTGATGATAAGTATTAAAAGATAAAAGTCAGCACCCGTATACCTTCTCACTTTCTCTGCCCCCCATCAACATATTTACAGTGTAATATGATACACATGAGCATTTATGATATCCGACAAGTAGAGGTGCACAAAAAATCCGAATATCCGATTTTGTCTAAAAAATATCCGAAACCGGATTTTGGAAAAACCGGTCTTTTTTAAACCGGATCGGATATTTAAAAACCGGATAGTATAATCGGTTTGGGAAAAAATTGAACGACCGGTTTTTTTACCGGATTAAAAACCGGTTTTTTTCAAACCGGATAAAAATCCGGTTTTTTATCCGAAAAAAAAAATTCGGTTTTTTTAAAAAAACTGGATTTTTATCCGAAAAAATCCGGGTTTTTTTTAAAAAACCAGTTTTTTTGCAAACCGAAACCGGTTACACCATCCGGCCCTTCAAACCGGTTAGGATCCGATCCGATTTTTTTAAAATCCGATTTTTGGGTTGGGGAAAAAACCGGATCGGTTTTTATCCGATCCGAATCGGATTTAAATCCGGCTTCTGTGCATCTCTACCGACAAGGACAAGGAATTATAACTAAGCACCCGTATACTTCAACCTGTTGAATACTATAACCAACCAGAATTTAACAAGGCAGCACTTGGCTTGGCTCCCGCTACTATTTCCAACTTTACCTGTAAAAATATTATATTCCAGTGTCATATTTCAAACCACGAAATTTTTCCCTCGTAAGGCTTTGTTAAATGTTTTTTAATCGTCAACATTTGTTTCATCTTCATCCCTTTCTACTGACTGATTATCATTCCATGTTCTGTATGCATTCGTGATTGAAAGCTTGTCGCAATCATGAGTTCACAAAAGTACTGAAAGTAAAAATCATGAAGGTCAAATGAGTGCCCTCAATTTCTCGTGAAAGTGCATTTGCACTAGCCTTTAACGTACTATATGGATATCAAATCATAGCCATTGTTGTTCTCGGGTATTTGAATTATGCGTTGTTAACTCTTTGAGGGGCTTGTGAATGGTTACCAAACCAAGCCAACTCTAACAATGTGTTTTTTGGTTAGATTTCGAAAGCTGCAATCAGAAGTGAAGGCAGAATGTTCATCTTGTTCAGTAGTTGCACCCAACAACTTGTTGGTTGTCACTGCATCCAACGGAACAAATGTTTCATTGACAAAAATAAAATCGAGATAAGCATTATATAAGTTGGCATAAAATTCCCAGACGACTGCCGGAGCGTAGTCACCAGTATGAGTACAAAGAGTTTTCCGGTTGAGTTCAGCAATCGTGCAATGAACAACAACACCCAGTGATTGTTGTAAGAATAACGTAATTCCTTGCTCATGCAGAGAATTTCGGCGAAGCATGTTCGTGTGAAACCGCTTACGTGCAGGCTGGATTTGAAATGGGTTTGTCTCCGGTAAGTCGGAAGCACGGTTCTGGCATCATTAGCTGGTGTAGCTATAGACTCTATTCATTTCGAAACATTATCAACAAGCCCAAAAGTGTAGAGATTGCCAAAAGAATTTGAGAAAGGTCCCATAAAATCTATTCTCCACACATCGAATAATTCAACTTCCATGATTAGTTGTTGTGGAATCTCATTGCATCGAGATATAGATCCAGTGCGCTGACAACGATCGTACCGTTTTATAAAATTGTGAACGTCTTTAAACAAGGTAGGAATCTTAGCCGTTGTTCGCATACTTCCAAAATATCCTCCGTAAGGAGCGTCATGACTATGTTTCAAAATGGAGTGCATTTCTGCCTCTAGAATGCATTGACAAATGATGTTGACGTTGAAATTTTGAATAGATAAGACTTATTTTAATGATATTTCCTGTTATCTCGTAGGAATCGCTGCTTTCTAAAATTTGTTTAAAATAATATTTTGAAAAAATAAGTTTTAAAATATTTATTTTAAATATAACATTTTATCAACATTTTTTAAAATATAAATTATTCTTAAAATAACATTTATTTTATTATTCTTAAAATTATTTATTTAACGAGACTCCACCTTATTTAAAAAAAAACATTTCTTCCGCGTCATAATGCGGTTAACACATGCTAGTAATTTACGAAGCTTAGGTTGTCACAGAAAATAGGATAAATATTAGAAGGTGGACAGAAACGAAAAAAATGTCAACAAACGTCCGACTTTATATGACGAATTCACCGGGAACAAAGGGTGTCCATAAAAAATCGAAGGATACAGAAGGAGACCGAAGTTTCCAACAATGGAGATGGAAAGGAAGAACAAAAAAGAAAGAAAGCAAAAGTAGAGGGTTATCATCATTTGGCAGGGCAATCTCTGACGACATACCTCTGCTTGACAAGACAAGACCAGATTAGAAATTAGTTACTTTTGAAGAAAAAGAAAAATTAAGGATGGAGGCAACAAAACAGCTAATGTGTCAACCAGCAGACTCATTTAACCCCTTGATCACAACAAGCTTTCAGGTCTCCTGCATTCTTGTCATTTCTCATGCCTTTCATCTTGTCTTGAAACCCTTGGGACAACCTGGACCTTTTGCACAACTTCTTGTAAGCATTCATCTTCATATAAACATAGATACATATAATATATATATATATGTATATATTCATGATTCTTAAAATGACATGCAGTTATCCATATATAAAAAAATATTTTATGAATATACGGTATATGTTGTTGAATGTCTTCTGTATCAGGCTGGCGTTGTGTTAGGCCCCTCACTGTTGTCCCGTATAGGAAAAGTTAAAGATTTTTTCATCCAGGCTTCTGCTGAAAAGTACTATCAGTTCTTTTCATTCGTTTGTCGAATGCTATTTATGTTCTCCATTGGCTTGGAAACAGATGTCCCTTACATAAAACGCAATATCCGCACTGTAAGCATCATTGCAGGAGGGGGTTCAATCCTGGCCTGCATGTTCGGTGGACCTTTATTCTGGTTACTTACCAAGGTATTCGATGTCACTAAGGATCGCTTTGCATTTTACCTTCTTACCTTGACAGTGTTAGCAAATTCAGCCTCTCCTATAGTGATCCGGATGATTGCAGATACCAAGTTTGATACTGCTGACTTGGGGAGAATGGCAATTTATTCTTCATTGGTTAATGAAATGTCCTGTGTAACAATCGTTAGTACACTTAGTGCTTTCTCCTCCTCTCGAAGATTTGGAGGAGCAATCCTTATTACTCTTGTTACTGTGGTTGTAATCTTTTTGAACAAGTATCTATCATACTTTTTCAACAAAAGGAACCGGAATAATAGATTTGTTTCCAACAAAGAAATCTTTGTTATTGTGTTGCTTCTTACATGTCTATCTCTGTATGCCGAGTGGTTGGCTACACAGCTATTTTCTGTTGTTTTCCTGGTCGGCCTCATGTTCCCTAGAGAAGGCAAAACAGCTCGGACTTTGTTGCACAAACTCACTTACGCTGTAAATACCTTCATTCTTCCCATCTACTTTGGCTACACAGGATTCCAACTTGATGTTAGCGGTATTTTCAATAAATTGACTATTGCTCTCACTGTCCTCATGATCCTGGTGAGCGCTGGAACTAGAATCATCGGCACCCTTGCCGCTTGTCATTACCTTATGATCCCATGGAACGAGTCTCTCATTCTTGCTTTGTTACTCTGCCTGAAAGGAAACTACGACCTTCTACTCATTATTACAAGCCCAAATCCCAATGTAAGTTTCTTCTCAATTCCATGTATGCATTTGCATTGTCTTTAACATTTATTATGCATGCATGTATGTATGTATACGAGCAAGTTGCAATTGAGTCCTCAATGATGATTTTCTTTTTCGTTCAGTTACAGCCAGTGTGGCCTGCAGATGCTTACGATTTTCTTCTGACAGTAGTAGTGGTTAACACACTGATCATAGGCCCAGTAGTTGCCATTTTACTGAACAGAGAAGTGTCTAGTTCTCAGTATCCTACCATACTGGAAATACTTAATCCAGAGAGTGAGCTCAGAATATTGGCTTGTGTGTATGTACCACGGCATGTTTCAGGGCATGTTAGCCTCATCTCAGCGTTAGGCGGCTGTCCAAGTGCACCCATAAGGCCATACATGGTGCATCTAGTGGAGCTTCCAAAGAAAAGGAAAAGCAAATTGATGTACCATCAACTAGAAGATGGTGATCAATACAGCGATGAGGAGGAGTATGGAGGAAATGATGTGCTAGAGATCAACGAAGCTCTTGATACCTTCATCTCAGAGACCAAATTTTGATCCACCAGAGTAAACTTGTGGCATCATTTCTGACCATAAACGAAGATGTATGCAATGGTGCAGAGGACTTGCGTGTGTGTATTCTATTCCTGCCGTTTCACAAGCACCAAAGAATAGATGGGAAAATGGAAAACAGCATGGAGGAAATAAGAGCTATAAATCAGAAGATTCTTCGTCATGCCCCATGTTCAGTGGGCATCTTTGTAGACAGAGGGCAAACAGGGTTCCAACAACCACATGGCTCTTCATGTGTGCAAAATATAGCAATATTGTTCTTCGGTGGCCCTGATGATCGGGAGGCTTTAGCGTGTAGCAAGAGAATTTTGATGCACAGTAAAGTCAATTTGACAGTTATCCGCTTCCTGAACAGACCGACAGAAAGTAGCAGCAGCAATTTTTGGATTAACGATATGCCCCACAAGGATGAGGAGGTTATCATGTCAATATCAATATCGGGACACAGAACGAGATAGACAATGTCTTGTGGAGACCTTCTATAACAGGTACATCCATGATCCAATTGAAAAGTGAAATCCAAATAGATTTTTATTATTATTAATGTTGACTACTCTTGTCTTGACTAGGTATGTGGCACAGGGTAGAGCCGGTTTCGTGGAGAAGTATGTGAGCAATGGGCAGGACGGTAGCAGTTCTAAGAGAAATAGCGGACACGTATTCATTGTTCATAGTAGGGAAGGGAGGGAGAGGGACAAGCCCCTTAACATCAGGGATGAGCGATTGGGAGGAGTGTCCAGAACTTGGGTTGATCGGGGATCTCTTGGCCTCCTCAGAATTGGACATCAGCGGTTCCATCTTGGTCATCCAACGACATCGGCACTTTGAGGCTGATGGAGGCTTTCCCGACGACTAGTTGCCTTTACCTTTTTTACTGCAAATGTATACATACATACATACATACATACATACATACATACATACATACATACATACATACATACATACATACATACATACATACATACATACATACTACATACATACATACATACATACATACATACATACATACATACATACATACATACATACATACATACATACATACATACATACATACATACATACATACATACATACTATACATACATACATACATACATACATACATACATACATACATACATACATACATACATACATACATACATACATACATACATACATACATACATACATACATACATACATACATACATACATACATACATACATACATACATACATACATACATACATACATACATACATACATACATACATACATACATACATACATACATACATACATACATACATACATACATACATACATACATACATACATACATACATACATACATACATACATACATACATACATACATACATACATACATACATACATACATACATACATACATACATACATACATGTAAAAAAGAATACTAGGAGAACTGTTAGGAGCGCCAAAAGAAAAACAAGTTCAGTTCCGTGAGAATGAATCAAAGTTTGCCTTTTGATTTTCAAGAAAACTAATAACATCAATGATGATGCCTGGGACTGGGAGCAATATAATGCAGTATCCAAAGCAAGAGAAGAAAAGAAATCAATTTTGTAAAAAGGCTGTTTGTGTTGATTCATGTTGTTGGACTGGACCTGCGGCAGTGCAGTTTACTCGTCTCAATCCTATTACAACGGACTGTATACACATAACATCGAATAACATACTTGATTCAAAAGCAAAATTAACCTTTTATGCTAGAAATACGAAAAGGATACCCTTTTCTACTCAATCATTCTCAACGAAGCTAATTCATTCTTGACCTTGCTGCTCACTGGGTGGGTGCGCTTCTGGTCTTTTTTATTTTTAAACATTGTCTTGGGTGGTATATGGATTGCTGCAACTGCAAAGGCTCGTGTTACTTGAGTTAATGCCTAATGGTCAACACTCTCTGAAGTCATAAAGTCATTCTATGAGAGGCACATTAGCTTATGTGCCAGGCTGATCATCCAATTTCAAACACTAGAAGCCGTGAAGTACGTAGATTCAAAGCACGTCAAGATATGCTGCAAATGAGCTGAGCTTGTTGCAGGGCGAAAGTGCCATTCCCCAACAAATTATATATAACCTTTGGACTGACATTTATTTTAATCTGGATTTTGCGACATTTATTTGGTTTCGCATTTGTGTATTCGGGCCCGGCCCTAAGGGTAGACGAGGGGGGCGACCGCCTAGGGCCCCAGGTATAGAGGAGGCCCATTCTTCAAAATATTTTTAAGTTTAATAATTTAAAAAATCATTTTTAAATAATTTAACTATAAACACCATTTTTTTATTTCAAACCCCACCCCATACTTCTTACACATCATTTTTTTATTCAGAACCCATATTTTATCCATGCATTTCTTCCACGTGAAACACCATAATTGAGCTGATCAAGACCTCATCCATGCTCTACTATAAACTAGGGGCCCAAGTTATTTTTTTAGGGGCCTTATCTTTTATTTTCTGTAGGGTCCTTAAAATGTCAGGATCAACCTTGTGTGTATTTAACCCTTGCCCATTAGACAACCATCTTTTAACCACTCTATCCAATTTCACGGATTTCGCTTGCCAGAGCCAGTATTCAGCATATTTATGGAGAATACATAATTAATAGAGAACTATTTTATGTTTGGGAAACTTCCCGCTCCATCAATCCATGTGTATTCCCCGGACAAGAAGCGGCTTCAACCCCAAATTTATGAAATTAAAAGAATTGGTATTCTTTCTAATTAGTGAATGCAAACTATTAACTAGTTTACATTACTTAAGGTAGGCAACCCCAATATTATGGGTTTAATCTTATATGTAAAGATTTTTCTTTTTTTGGCCTTGTCAACATTTTTAGTTTAAAATTTTTAAATAATAAAATTGTTTAATATTTGAATCTGGTTAAAATTGTATAACGTGCAGGGACTTAGATGTAAAGATTGTTAAAACATAAATACTTAATTGAAGTAGACCTACTTGGGTTGAGCTTGAGCAATGAGCATGATGTCAACAGTACTATTTAACTAATAATATAATATTAATTTACAATGAAACATCTCATATAATCCCACACATACGCGCTGCCTAAAATCTTGTTATTTTACTTGGTTTGAAGAACAAGTTAGTGAACCTTTTTCATTGGGTTGTAACGCTCTTAGCCAGATTCCGAGGTTGGTCAACATTGTAACCCCGCAGCACCGTGAGGTGATATGCTAACAGCTGCAGCCAAAATCATAACAGATCAAAAATTTGGCCAACAACAATAACAACAAACATACAAGCCCTTGATTATGACTAAAATGGAAGGGGTAAATAAAACTTCAATTTGCTGTTAACAGGAACATGGGTTTTGAAGAGGTGGTGTGATAGGATAGGAATAGAAAGCTCCTATGACTACTTAAATCTAATAAAGAAAAACAAAATTGAAAAATATGCAAAACAAAAGCTCTGCTGGACAGAGAGACACACTAAGGGCAAAATTATTTATAACAAACCTGCAAAGGAATAATATTAACCACAGGTTGAAGACAATCTTCGACCTGAGGAACTTCAACCACTCGACAAGATGAAGATCCACCAGGACATACAGCAGTTGCATCTCCTTTAGAGCACACCACTATCAGGCGACCTTTACGGGCATGAAGTTGCTGAATAACTGACTGCTGCTTACTGTAAACAATTTAGAGATGTTAATCATCAATCAAAACGGCTATACCACCATATGACTTCTTAGAAGAATTATATAACTTACCTGAAGCATGCATCACGGGTTGCAACAACTATAATGGGGAGATTCTCATCAACTAGAGCCAAAGGGCCATGTTTCATTTCACCTGCAAGCATTCCCTCACTATGCATAAGAGAAACCTCTTTTACTTTCAAAGCACCCTCTAAAGCTGTTGCAAAATTATATCCTCTTCCAAATACAAGAAGTGACTGCTCAGCAATCAACAATTTTGCCAGATCCTTCATTTCCTGGTCAAGCTTCAATACCTCTCTAACTTTATCTGCAGAAAAGCAAGGTAAAAAAAATGAAAGTTGCATATTCTTAAACGTACCCCAGGGCAATAAAACAAGACTTTACAATCCACTAATCCTTTAAATGAGAAAGCAAGATGAAACATACTAGGTAAATCAAATAGACCATCTATAATAGCCTCTCGTCTGGCTTGACTAGATATTGCATCATCTCCAATAGCCAAAGCTAGCATTGCCATCACAACAATTTGACTTGTGTATGCCTAAACATGATGATGAGGGTTCTGTTAACCAATAAAACAAAATAAATGAAACAAACATATACAAACAAATGAAACTTACCTTGGTACTTGCCACCCCTATCTCACAGCCAGCATTTATGTGAATTCCACAATGCGTATTCCTGGCAATTGCACTACCAACAGTGTTTGTTATGCCAACACATAATGCTCCATTTTCGAGTGCATACTCTAAGGCAAACAGAGTATCTGCAGTTTCACCAGATTGACTAACAAAAACTGCAGTATCTTCTCTATATATTGGACCCTGCCGGTCCACCAGATCGCTAGCAATCTCCATAGTAACAGGGACACCTATAATTGTCACAGATGATGAACAAAATATTTCAGTAAAATAAACTTAAAGAATTCAAAGGAGCATCAGAAATCAAAGAGGGGGTACCAGAAAGTTCTTCAATGATAGGTCTAGCAGCTAAAGCAGCGTTATAGCTTGTACCACATCCGATAAAACAATACGTCTGCTCCGTCTAATAGTTTTAATGTGATCTTTCAGTCCACCTAAAAGAACAGTCTTGGCTTTGGTAAAACCTCCATGCTTAAGTCTCCCCGCATTGTGGTTGTAAGAGATTCAGGTTGCTCGTGAATTTCTTTCTGCATATAATGCTCATATTTCCCCTTATTTATTTGCTCAACCTCCATTTCAAGAAAAGATAATGCACGTTGCACTGACGATGGTCGAGAAAGTGCATTGCCACATTTTCCTTTGTCATTCTCAAATTTAAGAATATAAACACCTCCATCCTGAAATTTTTAGTAGTTTTTGTAAGTAGACTTCAGTGCAAAATGTTTGTAGGTCATCCTCAGTACCATGCCAAAGAGTTTACTCAAGAGTCATGACAAAGGTACCTTAAGGTGAACTACTTCATCGTCTTCAATCACCAAAACCTTTTTTGTGTGTTCGACTATAGCACTAGCATCACTGGATAGAAATAATTCTTTTGGATGTCCATTTTCTGAAATGAACGTAAGATCAAGAAATGAAGTTCCACTGCGCATGTCTTCGCTTAATTCCTGCACATGTTACATCAAACAACTAAAGTTTAATCAAATAACAAATGAAAAAGTTAAAGCCTGTACATGAGATCAGAGGTTTGATGCAAACGACAAAACATTTCAGCAACATCTCCAATCTGGCACATTCCAGAAAAGGATAAGATGTGCAGTAAATCAATGAAAATATTACTCAACAGGAAGAGATATAACAGCAAGTATTTTAAAGTAAGCAGCACTTGTACTTTTCAGATACTTACTTTCACACCTAAAAGCAACGGACTACCACGTTTACAAGCAATCAACTCATTTGGGTAATGATGACTTTTGAATATAAGGGCATAGGCTCCATCAAGATGCCTCATAACTTCAAGCACAACTTGACTGAAGGTGACAGACTGGTCACCTGCAGGATCACCGGTAAACACAAAAATAAACTCACAGTACTGATATTCTAAAGCTTACGGGAAAGAGAAGCTTGAAAGTTGATCAACAAAGACAAATATAACATTCCTTTTCCAATAAAACAACATATAAGGATTTAGCCAAGACTGCCATGCCATAGATTGGAGCGGAATTAGATATTTGTCTGGTGGGAAAAATAAGGTGATTGTCTCACAATTTATTTCAAACTAGATGCTAGATAAACGTTACAAAATTGACTTGTCTATGCATACAAGCCAGAACATTTCCAACTCCACAAATATTAAGAAACTGCAAGAGCCAAGGACTAAGGTCGCATCATTAACTCGCATAGATTCAGTTATTAGCAGAAATAATGTAGTTTCAAATTTATATGGAAAAAAATAATTGCAATTCGAAAAACCTCTTCTCTTTCTTACACAAGTTAAGAATGGCACCTTCTTCAGTTGCCTTGTCAAAAACATATTTGGCAAGCTTTGGGATAACTTCTGTGTCAGTATCGGATTCAAAGTTGAACCCATGCCGCATCAGCGTTTCCTTCAACACCTAAAATTGTTTAATAACCAGATAAGAGGTAAGCATGAGCACAATTATCAATTTACATGCAAGGGAAAGGGGAGATGGAAGAAGGAAGAAGGAAAGAGAAGCAATTAGCATAACTAATTAAAGAAACATAAGCAACCTCGTAGTTTGTAATAACTCCATTATGAACGACCAAGAATTCGTTTCCAGCACCAGATGTCTGAGGATGACTATTTTTTGGAGATGGCTCTCCATGAGTTGCCCACCGGGTATGTGCTATTCCAGCATGAACACAAAAAGGTTCCTCCAAATTCAGCTTTGTCGATGCGACATCTAAAATAGCAATATCATTATATTAAACTCAATTTCTTAAACGAATACTAAATTGGTTTTCCGCCAGTTTGTCTAAACCCAAACACAAAGACTAGAGCACAATTATGTTAAATAAATCTGGCATTCCAAACACAAAGAAAACGACTTGACTAATAAAAAATCCGACGGCATTTTCACTGGATCCGCTTAGCCGAATTTCAAAGGAAAGAATTACCTTTGTAGACGGATTTAACGAGTGAATCGATGTTGCCTTCTTGGCGGAAGATGAGGGGAGGAGCAGAAAAGGAAAACTGTCCGCTTGGATCCGAAGAATAAGAATCAATGGAAATCCCGGCAGAATCATAGCCTCTGTACTCTAACCGCCTCAAGCCGTTGAAAAGGATATCCAGAATGAAACGTCTGTCACGCTTGACGTTGTAGTTCAGATAAGCGAAGATCCCGCACATTTTTGCCCGATTCCAATTGGTTGATTCTAGACGCTGTCGCACACCCTCGGGTGCTGCAGTCGCTCAGTGAAGAAGAAGTAAACACGGGGGAAATTGAGGGAGGAGAGGGACATTTTCTTATTTGATCAGTCTGGTGCATAGTTTTGGAAGTTTGTTATTAATTTTATTATTATTTAAATAATAAAATCAGTAAAAATAATTAAAATATTAATATTTTTTTAATATTTTTGATAAAATGTCTAACAATAATAAAATCGATAAAAAATAATAAAATCAATAAAATAATAATAATTTTAATAATTTTTTATTAATTTTTTTATTTAAATAATAATAAAATCGATAACATTTTTTTTAATCGTATATTAAAATTATCGTATTTTCCCCTATAATTTTGACGCGTCACAACTTCAATTTTGGGAGGGCGTTTCTATCTTTTCCCACCTTTGATGATGTTGGTTGACGCTGAAGAAAGCATGCTATTGGAAGGACTGCGCTTAGTTGCCGAATTAAGAATAGGCCGGATGATTAATTGGGATTTCTTTTTTATTTTTATATATGAATGATGTATTTTCATTATTCAACAAGCAGGGATCCGCTATAAGAGTACAAGGCATCAGGTTTCAAAGAAAAAAATTGAGAAATCTTTGATTTTTTTTCTTCAAAACTTCATGTCTTAAATATGTCGATAAATAACTAAACAAGAAATATTTATAAATCAAATTATTATTAAAAATTCATTTTAGAATATTGTGCATACTAATTTTATAAAGGACTGGAGATTTATCATTTTGTTTGAAAAGTTTAAAGATGACCAAATGATATTAATATCATATCAAAAAAATTATGAATGATACGAATAACTTAATAATTTTGTAAATAATTTATTAGATAAGAAACTTTGAAGATTATATTTTTCCTTTTCAAAAAAATTATTTTCTGAAAATATTTTACTAAACTATAAACTTTGAATATCTATTTCTTATTTTCATAAGAAGAAGAAAAAAATAAGGCATCATGTCTAAAAGTCTTACAGATGTCTCAAAAGACTTATAATATAACTGAAAAGAGATTACCTTAAATGTTTGTTATAAGTTTTGATACAAAACTATCATATTACTAAACCGTGTTTTTTTCGTATAGTGTCAAATTACTTTAAAGTCTATGTGTTTTGAACATCTTTTTGAATTGATACAAAAATAAAATCTTTTACAATGACAAAAATCTAGAGAAGTGAATATTTGGGGAGTTAACTTGAGTTACTAAACGGTAGATTTAGGTGTTTGGGCTTGTTAGTTAAGGATTTGGGGTTATTATTCCTATTAATATACTCTTCAAAGTCCTTAATAATCAAGTCATTTTAGCTAAACCGTGTGGTTACTTAAATTTTGAGGGCAGAAGTTTTAAAATCATACTGAAAGTTTCAAAATTTTTACCTGAATTTTACATATCCACTTTCTTAATCAACAAACAATCTTAATAAGTTAACTTATCTATATACAAGCATCATATACCTTTCAAGTACCTATAATACACACAGCATGCACCCAAATACCCAACATATAACCAAATTTGATTCTATATACATCAAAACTTATTTGTAAATGCATTTATAACTCACGATTCATCTTCATCGCATTCACCATTCAAGCATCAAGAGATCGATTGTACTTAATTTATATGACTTTATAGACCTATGTATACTAGAACATTCATACCTTTTAAACATCATAAAACTTGAGCAATCATATCATCATCAAGTCATACTTTCACAATCGCTATACTATATAAAACTTTCATAATTAAGACTAAGATGGCATATAATCTTATTTACACATTATTAATAAAAATATATATGTCATAATCTAGAAATTTAAATAAAATAATATTTATATTGATTATCTCGAAATGACTTGTAACATCTTCTATGCAATCGCGATTAATTTATGAATACTAAATAATCAAGAATAACAAAATATCTATGGATGGTAAAAAGAAACTTGTCATGTTTATTATTTTCAAACGTATGGCAATTATAAAATTTAAGAATAACATTAAATTAAAACAATGATAGTAACATATAAACTTTTATTGCTTAGTATGCAATCATAACATTAATTTTATCGAATGAAATAAAATTATAAAAGTAATGATTTTTTAATTAAATATTTAATATTATTTTAATTTTAAAATTTTAAATTCGAAACCTTAATTAACGTATAATAAGTTAATATCAATAATTCAATAAAAATATAAATAAACATAATGCCCGTTGGTGAATTTTATTAGTTAATAGTTTGGGCACTGATAGAAGCAGTGATCTGGTAGCAAGCCCATTATTTATATAGCAGCCTGGCAGGCAAGATATTGACATATAGCGCAAGCGTCAGCTGCAGCCGCTCACACGTACGGATTCCTTTATCCTTCACTGTTACACCACGTGTTCCCTTGTCTGCCACGCGCCGTTTATACCTCTCAATGAAGTTTTTCTATTTACAGACATCAACAGTTTCATGCATTTTCATTTTTCACAATGGAAACCGAGGAAGAAAAAATAGAAGAGAGCCCAGCGCCTCCTCTTTTGGCACTGAATCATGTGTCTAGGCTATGTAGGAACGTTAAGGAGTCCATTGATTTCTACACCAAGGTTCTGGGTTTTGTGTTAGTTGAACGGCCTCCTGCTTTAGATAATTTTGATGGTGCTTGGTTGTTCAATTATGGGGTTGGGATTCACTTGGTGCAGTCCGAGGACGAAGACAGGTTGCCTTCTGACACCCACCATTTGGATCCCATGGACAACCATATTTCTTTCCAGGTTTAGTAGCTTTACCTATAGCTACTCTTGCGATACTTTTTTTTTATATATAATTTCAATACCTGAGAGTTGAATGTTTTAAAAAATTATTACTAAACCATGCAGTGTGAAGATATGGAAGAAATGGAGGGAAGATTGAAAGAGTTCAACACCAAGTACATTAAGAGGACAATGGAGGATGGAAATGGGACAAAGATCGACCAGCTCTTTTTCAACGACCCAGATGACTTCATGGTTGAAATATGTAATTGTGAGAATGTTAAGCTTGTTCCTGCTGGATCTATGGGAAAGAGAAAGCTCCCGTTTGATCACCACAATCCTCCGGTGGATTTGAACAACTAGACAATTCAAGCGATTGCAAACATTTATTTCTAGTAATCACGCATACTCTAATAATTGTAATTTGCATGCAGCTTTAAATAACACATTGCATCCACTTTCTACTCATTATTGATATCCCAAGTGATTAGCGGGTTCGACCTGTCAACTAAACTTTCTACTCATTATTGCCATCATTTTCTTTCCATCTTTATAATTCCTTCTTTGTTTCTCCTTATATATATATATATATAGAGAGAGAGAGAGAGAGAGAGAGAGAGAGAGAGAGAGAGAAGAACTGGAAGACCCTTCAAATTGTCCATAGGGATCACTATATTTAAGTAGAGTTCAAATTACGCATAAGTTCAGCTTAGTTTTAGCACGTGCTGAGACTTCCAAAATTAAGGGAAAAAAGAAATTAATTAAATAATTCATTAATCTAAAATAATTGTGTAAACTCAAATTAGATTAACATAATTGTAGTTCTGTCGTATGTATGTTTATTCGATTATGATTATTTGTATGTAGAATTTTATTTCAAATTGGGTTATGATGTGAATTTTAATGTGTAGCTTTTGAGCTACATTGACGTATGTGTTTTGTTTTGAATTAGTGGTTATTATGCTAATGATATATTTGAGATTGTTGGAATTATGAAAATATATTAAACGATAAATTTCAACTTGTTGAGTGATGTTTTCTAATGTGATATTATCTTTATCCCACAAAATTTGTCTTTTATTAACTTATGATTTTAAATATTTAAAAAAATTATAAAATATATATTTCAAAACTACTTGAATGTTTTTAAAATATATTTCTTCATATTTTTATCAATAATAAATTTTAAATTATGGTGGGTCAAAGTTTAAAGAAATTGATAAAAAAAGAACCAATAATGAATCTTAGTTGTTTTAAAATTGTTTCAAATACAGTTGACATGTTAGAGGATCATGGTGTTTTTGTAAGGTTAAAGATCATATTAAGTGTTGTAAACGATCAAATTATGTGCGTCAGTGTATGTTCAAATGATCGAATTAAGTTTCATAAACGATTAAATTTGCACTATTAATGAAGAGGGAAATTGATATGCATATATGTCTAGATTTAGACAACTATTAGACAAAACTACTTTGATTTGTTCCGAGCAATACATGTCTTGATATTATATTACGTTATGTTAATATGATATATTGCATTATGTCAAGTTTGCGATGCTAATCTTGTTATGTTGACTTTATACCATAGATAAGATGCTAAAACTTAAATAAAATAGTTTAAATGTAATCTAACCAGTAAAAAAGAGTAAACTAATCATTCACCTATTATTTTATTTTTATTTTGGTCATCAAACCATTATTTTTAAAAAAAAATCATATTCAACTGTATATTTTGTTTTTATTTTAGTAATTCACGGTTAAATTTTTAATTGTGATGTGTCATTTTTATTATTTTTAATGTTGATGTGTCATTACCTTATGGTGATACGTCAACTTCACCATTATTTTTTTAACGACGGATGATCAAAATAGAAATAAAAATATAAAGTTAGGTATGATTTTAAAAAACAATAGTTAGATAACTAAAATCATAAATAAAGTAATAAGTGAGTGAGTTTACCCCAAAAAATATTTTAAAAGTTTTAATGTTATTAACATAGAGCAAGCATTAATTTTCGTTGAACTCATTCCCCCGGTTCCAAATATTTGATTAAGCATTGCTTAATCTATGAGTAACAAATGGGTGATCCTAAGACAAGCCCTTGTTGGAGCCAGAGGTGTTGCCTTTTTGGGATACGGCAGCCACAGGAGGTGATTGTTGCATAACCAAAACGGAGGCTGACGTTAAGGAATCCACTGATATTAAGGTATCCCCAATCAGTCCTATCTCCGGGAATTCACTCCAATCAGAAAGCCCCGAGGTCAATGGAGATTGCCGGCCATATCCTCTACCTACTATGTACAAATCATAATCATTATGAGCTGATGTAATGGTTGATACAATCTGGTCTCCACTGTTTACAGGTTTTTCCATGTAAGTAATGGATTCATTATGCATTGTTCTAAATCTAAACTCATTTATGTAATCGTCATCAAGCAGTTTCTCCTTTTCTTTCTCGAACATGGCCGAGAATACATCCAGATCAGCATCGTCATCATCTGCTACACTCTCTAACAAGTCTTTTCCAGGGACAAATCTGACTACAGTTAGTGTCAATCTTGGATTGCTCCCCATTCTCCATGCATAAGCCAATGCCTCTCGGTCATCAGCTCCTTCAACAAAAGCACAGCAATCCGAATTTTTTGAATTCGATCATGTTGGGATTCTAGAGGAAGATGCCGAGTTAGGCCGCGATCCACAAGTATGCCAATGGAACATGGTGCATTTGCAAGCAAGTTTTGGCTCACTCTCTTGTGCTCAAGGTTTTGGTCCTCCCAACCCCCAATGCCATTGGGTTTCTTGTGATATGGGAGTAAAATGACAGCCACATGCTTATCAATCACTAAGTTACTAACATCTTCGTGCATAGTGGCGTAAGGGGACACCGCGGTGAGTGGGTGAACAGTGACAGCTCGGTTGTCGTTTTGAAGGGATTCAAAGGCGCGGACGATTTGCTCCGACTCGGCTCTTTCTCGAGTGGGGTTACTAGGTATGTCATTTGTTTCAATCTTATCATGGAAAATGAGCATTGCAGAAGCGCGTCCTGTGAGCTCGATCAAGTAAACGGCGAAAACCACAATTGGGGATTTTCTGGTGGCATTTGAAAGATGCAAAAGATTGATTAATCCAGAAAGGTTTTTGCTGGAGTGGAGGCATGCCAGGACTCGGAGCTCTGACTCTGGTTTGCTCCTTTCCAAATTCATCCGATGCTGCTGCTTCAAATGCCTTGCGGACTTATGAGTGCAACTCACGATTGGGACAACCAAGCTGGTCATGATTAATATGGAAAGCATCATCCAAGTAAATGTTGGCTGGTCAAACCCCTGAGGTGAAGCAATAATGATATTTAACTAGTATGATAAATGATATTTAATTAAGACGCAATTCAAAGAAACTTAAACCTTCACGTTCCGGCCCTCTTGAAGCACAATGATGGCAATGACGCCCTTGGTGTTCATGAGGACCCCCAGGGCCAAACTATCCCGAAACGAGCATTTCAAGTAAGCGCAGACAATAAGAGTACCGATTATTTTAATCAAGGAAGCCACAATTATGACAGTAGCAACCAGCCAATAGTGATATCCGGCGGCTATAAAGAAGATGTTGGTCCGCAAGCCAGCAACCAAGAATACAGGGGGCATCATAATCCCTACCACGAACTCCTCGATTTTATCCATTATCTTAGTCCCAATCCCCTCTGGGTATAATCAGTCCGAACATGAAAGCTCCAAACATGGGATGTACGCCACATAATTCTGTGATAAACCCACAAAACAGCACTCCTGTTAGAATAAAACCAACATGTTTATCGCTACATTGCCCTTCCATTGACGATGATGATGATGATAACGAGTCCTCTCTTGCTGCTCCAATTCGTTTAATCATTCGGAAAAGAAGTGGACGAATAACAAACCAACATAGTAGCATGAAAATCAGAGTTGGGAATATCCTTAGAACGTTGCCATGCCCATTAACTAAAGCTATTGTTGCCACAAGAAGAATCCAAGAAACCAGGTCAGTGAGAACAGCTGAAGCCATGGCCGTCTTTCCAAGATCCGTAGACATGAGCTTGAGCTTTGAAAGTATTCGTGTCAGGTCCGGGAAGCTTGTGACAGTGAGGGCAATCGCCCAAAAGAACCCACCCACCATAGGAGCGTCTTCTCGATCAATCTGAACTAGATAATATAACATCATTCCTCCACACCCGGGCAAAATAGTTCCAACAATGGCCACGCTGTAGGCTGTTTTTTCCATCTTTCGGATTGGGGTTAGGTCCATGTCCAGGCCCACTAGGAACATATAGAATGTGACGCCAAGGCTTCCCATTGTTTCCAGCAACAAAACCCCCTCCGGTGGGTTGATGTAAATTGCTAACCATGGCACAGCTTGCATGAAAGTTGGGCCTAGCAGAATGCCTGCCTACATTAATTCATCATCCATCATCAATTAAAAGCAATAGTCTTTGTTAAATAACAAAAATTACAACAACCACATTGATTTTTATTGTATACATACAAGAATCTCACAAACAAAACGAGGTTGACGAAGAGGTTTGAGGATGATCATTAAAAGCCGACTCAAGGTTATAATTAAGGTAAGTTGTACCATAAAACTGGGGAGAAATGTCATCAAGGGGCTGGTCGCTTGCCATTCCGTGAAGCCAACGGTCCTATTTGCCTTGAAACATACATTGAATTGATTGTCTAAGCCACCCTTTACGGTGTATTTATCTAAGGGACCGGACGTCGGCCTATGACCTTTATTAGCAAGCGTACCATTTGCCATCTTGCAGCACTAATTTCTAACACAATCGAAAGAAAGATTATGGAGGACACCAGTTTTGAAGAAGAAAAAAACATTAATATTAAGGATGGAAGGTACAAGTACAAATTGGAATGTACGATTATCCGCATTTTTTGTTGGTTTTTAGTTGTAAAAACCGTTGGCTCACAGAGGGACGGTGGCTATTTTCACCCAGAGTAAAAAAGTTGGAACAGGCTAAACCTAGAGTATAGTTCCTTTGTCCTACCGACAAGAGGTGGTTCAATTTGTTAACAAAATGATGCCTTGAAGTTGGATCTCATCACCTTGTCTCAATTCATAAATGTCCAAAGAGTTTTCATTCAACTAATTCTGCTAATTGAATATGTAACACCCCAATTATTATAATTATTAAGGTCTCATGTATATTGGCTGGTAGTGATAATTAGTTAGGTGTGTTAGGTTCAATCCTTTTCGGACACCTAAGGCCACTCAATAAGAGATGGACATCCTTGCTGCACTTGATGAAATGAAGTCTATGAAGTCCAGACATGCAACCATGAACATAGATGCGATGTTGGAGGCCTTTCAGCTCATTTTAAAAAAAGAGAAGAATATAGAAGAAGACTCTAAGGTTTCTCATCTTGAGTTAGCAGAGAGAACTTTTGCACCATTGGACGATCATCGGAGGTATATCGACATGTTTTACTTCAAGAAAATCTCATGGTTTTCACTAGATCTACAACGATTAATGATGTTTTTGGATGATTGGAGGTCGGATTCGTGACGATTAGCATGAGGTGGTTCGAACGATGTATTTTATGTCTTGAACGGTGATCGGAGACGGCGGTCGACACGGTGGTCACCGGTTTTCGCTTGTCGCAGATGAAGGTTCTTTGTTTACCTTCAGAGAACGACTTGAAAAAAAAATGAGAATTGGCGAAAGCTGCGTTAAAATGAAGTGTGAAATGAATGAATGGCAGTGTACATGGCTTTGGAAAGAAAAAAAAAAGAGGGTGCACGTGATTTTTGGGGTTGTTATTAAAGTGAGAAGGAGAAATTGCAAGGTAAGCCATCCAAGTTGTTAAAAGCTCAACCTTGTTTCTTAGCTTTTATATTGTTATGATTATAGCATAATGATTTTATTAAGATCGATTTAGTCCCTAATCTTAGTAATTAAAAATTATATTGACTCCTAAAGTTTTTAGTTTTAACAATTGGGTCCCCAAATTATTAATTAGATTCTAATAAGTTATTTTTATGGCGAGGAAAATTATTTGAAGTCGTATTTGTATGATAGATTGTCCGTGTTCGTTAGAAAAAGATTGGAAGCTAGAAATCAAGTTGGTGAGTTGGATTTCAGGAGTAATATTTTGGGTTTTGTTGACGTCCTGAATCTGAATCCGAAGTCCGTTTTCCAAATTCGAACCCGGTAAGCTGTTTTGACTGATTAATCACCCGATTCGATCCGTTTTTCGTAATTAAGCTTCGTTTTTTTATATAATTCCTGTTGATATGCATATGAGGAATTATTGGAGGATGATTTCAAGATCGAGGGCGTTCGAATGGAATTTATATGGTCGATCAGTATGGAATGGAAATCGAGGCAATATATTACTACCTTTTCATGCTTTATGGAACATGTTGGTATTAGTAAATGCATGAATGGAAATGTTTGGTCTCATATGAGTAATTAATGAAGTTCTACACACGATTCAAATACAGTAAAAATTCGGTAAATGAATATGGCTCAGATGATTGATAAGAAATGGATGGATTGTTAGAATTAAATTATGAGTTCTGTGATTAGCGATAAAGGTATTATCATGGATTTGTAGCATATAATCAAATGTTAAAGGTACTTGGATGGGAAATTATGAGAATACTCCGGTAGGATAAAATTACGAAAATACCCTTATGTTGTAAGATGACAATAATTGTTCCTGGAAGTTGGTTAATAACTCTGAAAATACATATTGATCTGATAAAATTACAGATGTGCAAAAGAAATGCTAGGTTTGCTTAGAAAATTTGGATAACTGATTTTTAACCCCAAAAGGGTTTATACAAGATACTAGAAGTTTGTTAAGGAATCATTTCGAGATCAAAGAATGTTCGGGAAAGCAATTAACCATTTTGATCTCTAAAGTATAATTATTTTCGTTAAGAGTTAATACCGAAATTATCTGGTTAAAAATTACAAAAATGCCCTTGAGAGGTAAAAATAGTCCAAGTTGACTCGGAATGAGGAAATAACATGAGAATTTGTTTTTAAACTGATAAATTATTGATTTGATTATTGAGATCCTATTTTTGTATGGAAAATTTCTGATAATCCGTTAGTAACATCTGAGAAGGCATTTAACCTGGAAATCTCCGATAAGTAAGTACATGAAGAATAATAATTTATCGATGGTGATATTTTGTCAGAATAGCTCGAAGGGACTAACATAAATGATATGTTTGAATTAAATAATAAGACCGGACAGAAGGAAATGATTGAAATATTCTAGATCTGTGAGATAACCAAAATACCCCTGTAATGGAAATGATTAAAGAATATCACCAAGCCAGGAATGAATGAATATCATCAAGCTTTGAAATGTATGGAAGATCATTGAGCATAAAAAAAACCAATATACCCTTATGTCCTAGACTAAGTAAATGTCATGGATTAATTAAGATATCCAAATAAACATGGATGTTGTGCTACCAGTAAAAGTTATAGAACGCAGCTTAAGTGATCAACCAACGCTAGTGCTATATCATTACCTGAATGATATAAGTACCACTTGAATGTTTGTTAGCATTCTCATATTTGGATCGATGATAATTCTGGAAGTACTTGCTTCAGCTCAACTCTAGAGTGCATATCGTACTAATAAGTGGGTATTCGTGAGACAAATCAACCACGAAAACCAGAATGACTTTATTATATGACTAAATTGAACTTAAAGGAAGTACATGTATTTGAAATTCATGAACGTCTGAATTATTCTAGAAAACTCTAAAGTAACAAGGATATACTTGCTTACTAAATGAACTAAGTAACCTCAATGACTGAGGATTAAATAGGTGATTGGATGAGTTTGGAAACACTGTTGAACTTACATGATGAATTTTCCTTATGGGTTATGAACCATGAATCAAGTACGTTCATATTTCCTGATATCGTTAAAACGTGGAAATAAAATAAAGATCGTTGGAAGATCTATTCAACGATGATTATGGGGATGATCTATGGATCTGCATTATGGTATTAAAGAGTGAATACACTGGAAGGATAATGAATTGACTTGTTGACATGCATCAGTTTGGGAGTTGTGTAACTCGAGTTGTTGGATAATACGATCGATAGTCATAGATTGTAAATGACTTAAATCTTCGATTCTATATTTTCATCTAAAATCACTTCGGTCATGTTTGAAAACGCAAGTAACGCAGAAGGAAAAGATTCTAAATACCTCAATTGGTTCAATTGGGCTGAAATCCTATAAATTCAAAGTATATTTTTGAATACCCCTGATTGTTTGGGTAATGGAATCACTCGCAGTAAATCTGAATTTAGAATTATTATGTATAAAGGTTCCTGAACGTTTTCCTGATGCACATGGAAACTTAGTGGAATTCTAAAGTATCAATCTGAAATGTCTGATTAGATCGGTTAAAAATCAATTCTCTTCAATAAGATCTTATTCCTAGAATCCGATCAAATTGCACAAGTTCATGTTATCCATACTGATAACTACAAAATGTATCTGAAAAATATTTGGATTCTTTAGTGTGTTCCTTATATTTTGAAAAAAATTGTTTTATTGTTTTAACATATGGTACATTGAAATTTATGGTTACTGTTTTATGGATACACCGACTTTAACGGTGATGGCTTATGGATTTGTATTATTGTATAAATTGTATCTTGGAGATACAGATTTGTAAAGTACATCTTTGATCAAGCTGGAAAATTTTTATGGACCTAATGTGACTCTTAGGTAGGCTCTGCGGCCCTGAGATCATTCTCGGGTAGGCCCGCAGCCCTAAGATGTGTTCTTAGGTAGGCCCCGTGGCCCTAAACTTTCTTGGGTAGGCTCTCAGACCCTAAGATGTTCCTTTAGGTTAAATCTTTGTAAGATGGTTTTAAAATACGAGTTTAAAAAGCTCCACTACAGTATGGTTTATGAGATTTTACTAAACTATCATTTGACTAGTGTACCTATTATGATTTTATCGTACTGATGGAACACACTAGACATCCTATTCGATCTCAAGAAAATGTGACTGTATGAAAGGTTTCTTATGAACTACTAATGGAACCCCAGATTATTCCGCAATTGGTATACGTTTGATTCAATAAGGAAATTAAGGCTTTCCGTTTATCTACATGTCATGTAGCATCATCTGGTAGTTTTGTATTACTGAGCTTTTCGAAGCTCACTCTATTCCTCACCATTGCATGTTAAAGGAATTGTTTCAGTACAACTATCAACATCAGTAATGGAGTTCTTCCGGCGTTACTTGCAGAGTATGGTTCATGAGATTAGGGGGCAAGTGGATTGTATTTTGTTTTATATTTGAGTTTAAAAAACCTGTTTCATTTCTAAATAATAATAAATCATTTTATGATTTTACATGTTTTAAGAAAAGTTTTAAATTTTCCGCTATTTTTACAGTGGATTGCTCCGGTGGCCCTAATGTGACACTCCATATCGGATCGGGCTACCCGCATCGGTCTGAGGGGGTTACAGAATATGTATGATGATTATGTTATTAATCCAATACACAACTCAAACTCGACATTCTTTGTATTAATGAAATGGAGATAACAAATTATTTGTGTAAAATATATGGTAAATTAGAACTAATACAAAGTAATGACATGAAAATGACAAAAGTATACTAATGGTTACTTTTTTTTTTTAAATAAATAAGTGGGTTAATCAATTAAATTACTACAATATTAAAAAATAATAATATATGGTACAAACCAATTTAGCTCAATAGTTAAAGGGATGGTTGTTAACCCTAAATGTCTCAGGTCTGAAAACCATATACTGTAAGGGTAGTTACACTTTCACTGTCAAATAGTTAATAATTTAAAAATAATATAAAATTATTAATATATCAAGTTTTATATATATATATATAATCAAGCAATATGAGTCCACAAGATTCACAAAATTTCAAGAAAATGATTTTAAACTCGTCAATTTTCATAGTTGATCACATTGATAGGTAAACTTTACTTTTGTTACATATAGAAGTGTTTATAGGTTGAGTCTAATTGGATTCGATTTGAATTTGTGTATAAAATTAACACACATCATATTTATTTAATCTAATTTGATCTAAGATATGTGACTCAAATTTTCTCTAATATCTTTTTGGTTAGCTCATATTATTTTTAAAAAAATATTTTTAATTTACTAGTATTTAATAATCGTTTATTTTTATTTTAATAAAAATTTTACTCTTTTATACAAGACTTTTTTAATTGGAAGGTGACGTCAAGTCAATTATTTACATACGAGTACACCTATAATACGAAGGTCTTGATATATCTCTCGAAACAAGCGGTTGGATGTTGGATTGTACAGAGTCAAGCAATAAAACTCGATAGGGGTTAAGAATGAGCATTTTCGTTAGTCAATCAACCATCATGTGGCATTCTCGTGGGATCCAAAGAAGCTCTATAAACCAAACTTGATTTCATAGACCAGACTTAATTTTTACATGATATAAATTATATAATATATTAAAACAAAATAATAAATATATCATAAAGATGAAATTCCAGAAACAGTAAATATATTAAAATAAAAACATATCTGGTTAGTTAAACAGTTGGTACTATGTATCAAACTTAAGTCATTACTCAATAAAATTTCAGAAACAATTTCTTTTGTTCTTCCTAAATTCCCTTTTTATTTATTTGTATAGTTTTCCTTTCAATCAAACATTTATTCCAGGAAATCTAATAATTGCAAAAGGGAACTTTGAGGAAATCTAATATTCTACAAAGCGCAAAAGAAAAAAAAAATAGCCCACGAATTAGGCTTATGTGCTTTAAATTAGCAGCAAAAGTTGAGTTTAAAAGGAAAAGCCCAATGTGATCTTCATCGTGAACTGCAGTAAGCTAAAAACCAGACGATGTGGATGAATAAAAAGAGATCTGTTTTTGCCTTCAGAACGATTCATCAAAAATGCTACATTTGAAGAAGGCCACACACTCGTCGCTTAATGTATATTCTTTACATAGTCAAGAGCAAAGCAAATCCACTATTAATTTTAAAAAAGAACAAAAAACCCTTAGCAAAATCAAATTGGCATAATTGCTTG